AAATTTAAAATCGGATCCTTTTGCCGCTCGAATGACTCCTATTATTTATTAGGCTAATACCACAAAAAAATCCTAAACCGGTACACTAGTGACAAATTTAACCAAAATGAATTTTTTAACTACTAAAACCCCCAAACTGGTACACTTGTAATAACTTTACCCTCCATTAGTTTTTGTTAAAATTTAATCGTCAAATTACTGAGTTAGATGACACGTGGCAGTCAACATGTGTACCAGTTTGGGATTTTACCCACCGTTTATCACAGGTATACCAGTTTGTGATTTTTTGTAGTATTAATCCAATTTAATAGAAACTAACAGATGGTAAATTTGTCACAAATGTACCTATTTAGATTTTTAATAGTCAAAAAATTAATTTAAACTAAATTTATTACGTGTATATCAGTTTAGGGTTCCGTGATATTACTCCTCTTTTATTTGGGAACCTTTATAAAAGCCTTTCAAAGTACATCCTCGTTGGTTAAAAAACATAAAAGGAACGTCCGTGGACCACCACAAAAAGGAAGTTGCTTTGTCCTGTGACGAACCCACCCCTAGAAGCATCTCTCTTTCCTTGATTCTCACAATTCTTCGTTAAATAGTCCCTCAACTCACTCCAAGACTCATCGACACTCAACACTGCAAGAGTGAAAAAAGCAATCGGAAAGATTGCAAGAACTCACGTCCTTCCTTATTATGTCAACCAACAATATCGAGCCTTCAGACATGGATATCACTGTCATATCAGCTGAGGGACTGAAGAAACAACCCTCCTCCTGTTCCATCTTCTCAAAACCTCTGAGACCCTTCATTACTCTCACGGCGATAACTTCTTCAAATCCGCGCATCGCGCGAAGCAATGGCGACGAGGAAGATCGAGTAGGGCTCAACTGGGGTGACAAGTTTCATGTGCATGTCAGCTCGAGTTTCTTCACTGACCTGAATGCTTCCATTCACCTCCAGCTCTACAGAAAGAGCTTCACTCAGGGTTGGGCCCAGCTGGGCTGGTGCCGGGTTCCGGCGACCGATATCAGGTGGCCACCAGTGGACTCGGTGAAGTACCTGAGCTACCGGCTACTTGATCGGAATGGAACCAGGAGCGATGGCATTATTAATCTTGCGGTGAAAGTGGGAGGGTCTTTGGATACACATGACCAATGGCCGAGCGACAATGGTAGAGCCGTGGTGTCCCAAATTGATGCACATGAGAAATGGTCGAGAGATAACGGTAGAGCCGTGACCTCTCAAATTGGAGGGTCTTCGGATACACGTGAGAAATGGTCGAGTGATAACGGTAGAGCCGAGACGTCTCAAACCGTGATCGGGATACCGGTTAATTATTGCCAGTTTCCTATGAGGTGAAATGATAGCGGCAAGAAGTGTCAGGATGGCGATTGAAAAGAGTGAGAATTTACAACTTTTTAAGATTCTGTATTATAGCAGCTTACACAATCAAAGAGCAGAACTGTTTTCGGGTAAATCCCATACACCTTCATTGTGCCCTAACGGTTAATTTTTCTACGACCCAAATCATGATTATCGATTGTCGTGCAGCATATCTTATCACTTATCAGCATATACTCAAACCAACATCTTAATCTGTGATCGAATATCCTAGCCAATTCAAATTGCAGGTAGCCCCTGTACTGCGAGGGTTCCAGGTTTCCTTTGAGGGGGAATTCCAGGAATCACTCCAGATGACCGGGTTGACTCATTCATGTTAGTGCAGTGTCGCTTTCGGCATTTATTTTAATTTCTGGTCTTTAACGTGTAAAAACGCTGGTCTGACGAAAGTGCCTTCACGAGCCATCTAGCCAAAGTTCGAAAGGCAACTTACACACGGCGCCGCAAATAGTTTTGTCGACATAGGATAGTCCAAAGCGCTAGAAGTCATAGGTGATGCATTGTATTGGCCTAGTCAAGACCTTGGTCTGGTGTAAGGTTTAGGTTCGGATAGGTGACAGTAAAGTCAATCCTGAGTTTTAAGTCAAGCGGCGTGCAAATTCTGCGGTTTCACACCAAGGAAATGCGCCAAAGCAGTAAAAAGCATGGCCACCCACAGACGGCAGAATTAACATAATGATAATAAATACTAAACAAGTGATGTCCGACGGTGGATAATTGGGAAAATTATCAAAAAATATCTTAAATTTATTACACTCTTGTCAATTCAATCATAAATCTTTCAATTGTACAAATTGACTCATAAACATTTTGACATTTTACCAATGTCATCCATCTGGCCAATTTTGATTGAAAATTAATGACGTGAACGACGGTTGTGAAAATTCTTTGAAATTTTCTAAATTTTTTTCTTTTTTATTCCTTTCTCTTTTCTTTTTTTTGTATTGTTAAGGGAGGGTCGCTAGGCCTCGCTACCCACCTGGCAAGGGTGACAACCCTCTTGCTAGCCATCAACGAGGGTCACGACCCTCACTCATAGTTGGGTGAGGGCTTCCTGCCCTCACCAACCACTGGGCGAGTGTCACAGCCCTTGCCCAGCTATGTGCGAGGGCCGCGACTCTTGCCCAAATCTAAGTGAGAGCCGTGATCCCTTGCCAATCATGGCGAGGGTCATAATGATACTGGGGAGGGCTCGCGGCCTTCGCCCGCGACTAGTAAGGGCCTGCAGGCCTGCGCCCAAGTGGCCGACAGGGGTACCCAGGCCTCAACCGATGACTAGCGACCCCTTGCCAACCCTTAACAATAATAAAAAAAAATTCACATCAATGTCAGCCTTTATCACATAGAACGACCAAAATCCACGTCATTAATTTCGGGCCAAAATTGCCGGATAAACTACATTGGCATATTATTTAAATGTTAAACACTAAATTATTCAAATTGAAAAGTTTATAACTGAATTGACCCAAATACAATAGATTTATGACTTTTTTGATAATTTCCCGTAGAAATGTCCAAATCTAAACGAGCAATGATCAAAGTTTTGTCTCAAGATTTGCCGCAATGATACGACATTTTGATTTTACAGCTGACCGAATGAGTATGCTCTTTTCGCGAAATCACTCATTGCTAAATCCTAAACCGCCTCCATGAATTTCAGACGTCTGTGACCTGTTTGGAGTCGATGAAAGAAATACAGAAAATTTTTGGACCAGAAATACGAATATCTCTCGTGTATGCACGTTTGAACCTTCCCGGCGCATTTGAACCAAAATTCTCCCGACTATAGTGTGCCAGCTGCCAAATAAAGCCTTGACAGAAGAGGCCGTGACTACGAAATTCGTATAGTTGCCGTTAACATAGTCATCTTAAATCAATCAAGCAAAATTCTCCTACTATGTACTTCCTATTGATTTAACATCAATGCGCCGACACCGCAACAACTCGATCTCACATTGCTGCTGTAGATGTTGCCCTTGTAAGCGTGTACCGATCGCGAAAATTCAAAAACAAAACATGGTTGCCTTCTGCAATCTCTGCAATAAAAGAACTTACGCCCAACTCCACCCAACAGGCCGTTGCAACATCACAACAGAAAAGGATGCCTTGTCCTGGTCTGAAGATCATAAAGTTACACATTCCACGGTTCCAATGTGTATAGACCAGAATAATTGCGTAACTCTATTAAATGCATAAGAGCAGGTCAGAGGAATTGCAAACAAAATCGAACTATACATTCTACTCAAACCACATTACTGTCATCAATGAACTGAAAAGTCTATCTTTGTGCACGAATATTGCACTGTGAACAATGTCATGCAACATTATGCAAAGAATAGCTCTACTACAGGGAATTCGCTCGTGAACCTGAGATAAACGAGAGTAATGTATAACTCACCGGAAACTTCAACCAAGCAATGGATTATGTGCATCATAATGAGACGCAAAGAGGTTCCGCCGAAATCCACACCAACGAACCAGCCAAAGACGATAGCTAACAACAACATCCCCATGCGGCATGTTTTAAGTTTGGATGTTGCTTACTTGATTTTCTTCATTAAATGAATGTAAGCTTCTTTGGCCATTCTCAGTCCAATGGAAGGCAATGCTACACCTCCCACTATCGCTTACCAGGAAATCCATGGAAGAAATTGACTAAGCGCCGCATAAATCCATCTCAAAAAGGTCATTCAGAATCCACACCAATGTGCCAGCCAAACTGAGATGTCAACTAGGAGCAAATGTCACCACGCAGCATGTCTAAATTCTGATGTTGCTTCTTGAATTTTCTTCTTGAATGAAGTAAAACTTTTTTGGCCCTTCTCGGTCCAATGGAAAGAGCTGCTTCGCTCAAGGATATCTGACATAAATGTCGATCCCACAGCAGAATCCTTTGATGGAGTGTCATCATATTCTGCAGGTACATAAAACCCAAAGCCAATTCACTGGTTAGAGTTGCTGGCAAGTCACAACAGCACTTAGAGTGAGGCAAAGGTCTAGAAATTTGAGGATTTTCTCAATATATGCTACATAAGACGAGCAAAGATCCCATTACTCGATGTAGAGAACTAATCCAAGCAAAGAATTCAAATGGCAATGGCACCTAAATTACACCATAATAAAGGGTTTCCAGCATAGGAAAAAAGTTTCTGGATCAATCTCAAGAGAACCAGCCAAGAACAAAACTTAGATTGACACCCGTGAACGCATCCCTCTCTAATGATTTTCATTAATGTGAAACAAATACTGCTGTTCTGCTGTCATCACTTTCTTCTCGAATTTTGCATGTTCATGAGATTTAATATTTGGTACCAATTCTTTGTTTTTATCAAAATATGATCCTTGTAGTAGAATGTATCATTTAATTTTAAACAACTCATAGAATCAGCACTCCCGACAAAAATACTCACTGAAACATGAGATACAGCGGTAGAAAAGGTAACAAGAAACCTAAATGAGAGAATCACACCTGAAGACATTGGGAGCTGGTACTGCCGTTTCAAGAACTTGGAGGCCTCTCTGTCCTTTTTATGACACAAGACTCGTATCAAAATGTATGCATCATCAGGGATGCTGCCATGTCTACGTCCATGTAATCCTGATGAGATCCGTTGACTTGCATTTAGCAGCATTTGGATAACTGTGTCAGTCTGTCAAGACAAAATTGGTCAAGCAGCTACTTATATAAATTCATATGACTGCACAATTTTCAGTTATCCACCACCATGCGAACCTTAAGGGAGAATAATTGTAGTATCTGTGCAGCAAATTTAGCTTCTTTCTCCACCAGAGAACGGGGAAGCCCCTCTCCATCAGCAATAAAAAATTCCTATAAATCAAAATATAGCACAACTAAAAGCATGTAACAACTGCATAGTATGAGAGAAAGCAATGGCACATTCTTGGTCAGTCTTTAGCATAAGCAAACATCAGAAGGAAGATTCGGTACTTCAATCCTCTGTTGCAACTTGAAAGCCACTCTCACGTTCATCACAGATAAATGAATTACATAAGTGATCCAGAACCCTGGGAGGCAATTCTAATCGGTCAATAAAAGAAAACAGTCCTACAGCACATTTCATAGGATGTGCTACATATCTAAATCACAGCCAATATATACCTATTTCAAAATGGATTTAGAAAGCATTAATAAGCTAACAAATCCTGCATGCATGATCTCTCAGGCATCACTGAACTTACCACCACTCACTGATTTTGATGCTACAGCATCGAATCAATGGCACCAGACCAGCTAGTTGGCTTCTTCAACACTGAATCATTATATCCAGTTCTTTTGGCCCCCAAGAAAAAGGCCAGTTAATTCCCTCAAAATAAAGAGCAAGAAACAAGAATCAACCGAATTTGACCTGGCTGAACTGATCTAACCAGGTCAAGATCCAGGCCAACCATGTGAGTTAAAATAAGGATAAATGAAAGAGGATCTTATCCTAGAAAAAGTAGACAACCCCTTTACAATTGCTTTAACAGCATTGAATAGAAGGCCTAAAGTGAGGTTAGAGCAGCCTGAACTCAGGACTCCACAGATGTCCTGGGTGCTTTACACGCAGGCACAACCGAGCCACAATATGCTTTATGTCTTCCGTCTAGTTTCCCCTATAAGGTGAATTGACAGCTGGTTGCGCCAATGCAACTGACGAGCAGTCACTTGACCAGTTCATGCTCCAGTTTAGTGTGAAAAAACCATCGACTTAAATGCACCAAAATATTGGCAAATAAGGGCACCAAAACAAAAGTGTCATCAGGTCACAACCAACACATCCAGAGCAACTCCAACTCTCAAGTTATGCTAAAAATGAAACAATACCACAATATACAAATATAAAGACCTTGAATCAATCCCTATCAAACCAGTACCAAAACTTGAAAATGAATGCTAATATGACCTAGATGAGGCTTATATATAGAGTATCAGAAACAACTCTATTTTATCTCAACACCTTTCAAGTCTTCGAGTTTCAAGGTGAGTTCGCGTTCATGATTATTCTCGAAACAGAGACATGTTATTTTATCTCGAGGACAAGCGTGCAAAACAATACCGATCTCTTACTAAAGCTTCAATCTCTTAACTGAATCAAGAAATTGCTGTGTGACCAAGCTCGATTGAACTCCTAAAAGGAAAAGTTTTATCCCTCAATTCTGAAGAATAAACAGGACATTAATTGAAAAGGAAAAAGACATGCTAGTGGACAAAAAATTTTGTCCTTGAGCAGACAGCATCCTATGTAAGAGAGTCAAAACTCAGCATCATCACCTTTTATACAAGAGTTTAGTGCACTACCATATCTTTCTACTTAGACACAAAAAGAAGCTAAGGAATTCAGAGAGAGGAAACAAACAATAAAAAGGAAAGGGATATATTCACAAACCTTCAACATAGTAAAATCATCCTCCAACAAAGAAAAATCTGTCTCAGAAAATGCACGAGATGGGCCGCCATCAAGCAACACCCAGACAAAGGCATCCTGGAAGATTAAGATGAAGAATTCAGGTTGCACCATCACAAAAAATATGCCTCGGCATCATTAGAATCTAAGAACAGTAACATACCATGGATGCTCGAGAGACACTTAAAACCACAAGATCTCTAAGAGATTCATCAAGTAAGCCACATATATGTTTAAGGACCTGCATTGATACCAATGTTTGAAACTCTGAACACTGATTCTATATATGAGCATACTAAAAGACATGTAAACGGCCATGCACTTCCAAATCAGTGTGTGCACAGAGAGAGAGAACCTTACGGTATCAAAATGAGAGAGAAACTTGTCCAGTCGAGCGCTTTCAACATTACCATAGTATAAAAATGAAAGCACTTTGTCTCTTAGATCCCAAAACACCATTCTCAATCCTAGAAATAAATCCAAGAGATAAATTCAGCAAGTAAGGTATTATTTTGTACCCGAATGCCAAAAGATATTTAATGGCATATATGAATATGAGAGCTTTAGACACACATTGCACTTGAGGCTTGAGAGAAAACATTCTCATTTTATGTGTAGAGTCAAATTCTGGAGATGAAGAGTGCATATAATCCAATTATAAATGAAAGCTGTATCAAGAATAGCATGTGCATTGCTTGCTGACAAAAACACTGTTGTACGACTAGCAAATATGCTCAAAACTTTGTGGGTTGTATTGCTTACAATCCCCACCCCCCAAACCCCTTTCTTTTTTTCTTCTCTCTCAAAAAAAAGAAACCAAAAAGGAAAGGAACAGCATCTCTAGACAACTGTGTGAGTACCAACTCCTTTTTCAGTCAACTTTGCATAGTTCTCCATATTCCAATAACATGCACACTTCCTCGTGTGACTACAATTATCTTTAGAGAAACACGCTCGTGTGAATTGCCAATTGGCATTTATCTACAAGATCAATATACTATTGTCTGTTCGTATATGTTTTTTAACATACTATTAGATGATCCCTTTTGTTGAGGTAAGTGAAAGTATAGGAGATTTAATGGCTAACCACATATAAAGCAATGCTTACAAAAAAAACATCAAAATATTTTCCATCCCTTCATTCACTAAGTATCAATTGGCTACGTTATATGTGTATTATGTGTATTAGAAGCACCGGCTATGCTGGTTTCTTTCAAAAAGTGATCGGTGCCTGAAGAACTACAGGCACAGTACTCAAATGTCAACTCACCAATTAAGTCGCAAATCATGCCTATTGCATTTGTTGAAGTATCCCTGATGCTGTTGAATGCGGTACTAAAGAGTTCATCAACTGCTTCATCATATGTTAAGGAGTCAGTAACTGTATTTTGCAAAGGTTCCTCCACCGCTGCATAAGCATTCAGCAAAGAATTAGTGCATGTAACCACCCAAGCAACTAAATTTCAGGACTATCTTAAAACAAGCAACAATCAGCATGGTCACATAACTAAAAAAAAGATCAGCAATCAAAAGCACGCTAAGATTGGAAAAATGCCTGACTTGATCTTGAAAAAATAAACCCAATACATAGCCACTTCTTTATTCCCGTAATTTATCACGGATGAGCCTTTATAAAAAAATGGAAACTACTCCTGTGTGTTCACAGGTTCAATCCTAGAAAAAGTGTATTTTTTACCCTCCCAAGACCCTAGCAATGCAGGAGGATCATGCACCATGACAACTTTATGGTAGAAACTCATATTTCAGGTAAAGAGAAATGGTTCAATTGGTAATTACTAGAATTAAATTTTGTGAAAGCACTAGCAACTAGACCTATCAAATGGGTGGGTCAAGTCGAAAATGGTCCGACCCAAATAGACCCATCTAACCCGTTTTGACCTATTTCCATTTAATGCAAATTTAATGACCCATACCCGACCCAACCCATACCAACCCATACCCGTCCCAACCCATATTGCTAAAACACTTCCATATTTAACTCAATTTAGAAGAACACATACTCAAACTAAGGTGAGAGTGCGAAGTGAGTGAGCGCAAAATTGAGTGAGGGTGAGAGAGATGAGTTGAGTTTAAATAAGTTGTAAACCCATTTACGATCCATTTATGACCCATTTAACACCCATATTATGTTTATACCAATTTATGACCCATTTAGTGAATATAACTAACTATTTATGACCCATTTACTGATATATGGGTTAAGAAATGGGTTTATGATCCATTTTGACAGGTCTAGTAGCAACCCATCTAAGAACTCAAGTTTGTTGATCAAGGAACTATTCCTTTCACCCTCCCCTTAGATTACATCTAAGCAACACAACTACCCAACCACAGAAAATCCATCACAAGTTTTGGAGAAAAACGTCCTCCCTGCAACACTTGAGGAGGGCTCCACATACGTAAAACAAGACCTGCCATTCTAACACCAAACCTATTTTGAAATTTGACAAAAAAGTACCGAAATATCCACAAGATAGGCATTGTAGAAGAAGCGTGATCATATGTTTGCGAGATCATTCGTACTTCCATAGACAGGTGCATGACAGTAATCGGACGTACTGGAATATTTCTACAGCAATCTATTATATTGGCATACAAGATCTTTAGAAGAACTGAACCCATGTCAAAACAATCCTCTGTTAGGACAATGAAAGACCATTTAGCAGGCACACTTCCAAGAAACATTCTGCTAAAACTTTGCCATGTACGCTCTCCTAGATATCAGTTATGAGGAATGGCAAGAATGTCCTTAATCATACTAGATCACCAACCAAATAAACTGATTGAAACAACAGGAGAATTCTTGCATCAAATCTCAGTATGCATGAAAGGCTTTAGAATTCCTTTGCCATGCCCGAGAGCCCACAAAGCCATGGGAACTCAGAAAAACAGCAAGTCACAAAAATATTTATGCATATGCTTAATTATGATAAAAAGAAAAAAAAGGTGTCAATATGCTCAAACACGCAACAGATAAACCAATTTAAGAAGTTTTTGCTCCCAGTCAGGAAGTCACCTGATCTTTGATATTTAGATGATCTGACAAGAGCCCAAGATTTTCTAAGGGAATCTTCTAGTATGCCACCCTTTTTCTTGACATACTGCACAGTGAATAAAAAAATGTCAGAAGAGTGTAGGACAATCCTTCATGATTGATCATATGAATCTGAAAATTGAAATTTTTGGGGTTTAGATCCACTCAGATTGCTGCTTGTTGTTGCATCTAATTCCACTCCTTTTATTGTTTTGTAGAAAAAGAATTTTAGTATCATATCAATATGTATATGGGGTCAACTGAAATCAATCAAAAAACAAAGAAAACCCCTCTCCTATAAACACAAGAAGCAAACTTTTCTACCATCTTCATATACCTAATGAGTCAATGGAAAATACACAGACCTGAAGAGTATTTAATCTTATACAGAGCTTTGATATGGTCGATGCAGTCAATTTATCATTCATGCCATTGTCGGTCAGAGTGTTTTCCACCATCTTCCTCTTGATTATAGGAATAACGGTCTCTGTATAGCGAGTCAAAGGAGGAGCTGCGGGTAATAGATCCTTCTTCTCGACTGTCAGAACAGTAAGCATCATCATCAGAGTTTTTAAGGAAAGATGTACTCCTGGAGTGTAAACTGGTGTGTAAGTTGAATATAACTGGAAAATAACTGGAAAATCAGCACAATTAACTCAGGCCTCAGCCCTCAATCCATTGCACATGTAAAGAATATAAAAGATTAGTCAAATGAGAAGCGCATAGTCCATCAATCCCTTAAATCCCAGTCCATGCTGCCAGACAGAAAGAAATTTGTAATCTCCTAAAATTCAAGTAAACCTATTAGCACAACTTTTCACTCAAATTTGCCGCACATACCTAAACCGTTAGATACCTTCAACAAATAGGCATCCAAGCTGTGAAATATCACAGAAAGTAGAGCTTGAAGATGCGTTATGTTCATTGGGAGATTCCACCCAAAAAATTGATCTACTGTCTGCAAGTCAAAAGCCATGAAAAGAATTAAACCATGCAAAAATCTGTGCAAATTCTAACTATCCACATGCTTCACAAGGCTAGCATTATACTTTGATTTTTTTTTAAGCAGTAATACTCCAATTAATGGTAGGATGAAACACGTTTAACTAATATTACCAAACAAATACGTCTTCTTCAACTATTCTGAATCTTCTCAATTTCCACATTTAAATGCTAATTCATATTTGAAGTGGAATGTTATACCAGCTTCAGACTAAACCAAACAATTGCCCTACATCCCTCTTATGGTGACTGCCATGTATATCAGTTTTGAACTTACTATATAAAAGAATATATTCAGCAGATCCACCATCATGAATTCATCTATATAAAGTAACCAGTACTTGAGTCATTAAGAACTTCATACCTCTTCAATTATCCTGAAAACTTCAACTACGGATGGTGCCTGCTTTTGTTGGAATGATATTGCCTCCCACTTCTGCACAAAGTCAAAACAAGAATAAATGCAATCGGCAATTCCAGCCGCTAAAATTAATTATATAACATTATCTAATAAATGAATAACTATTCAAGCAGGAGGGTACGCCTCATTTAGCCATTGGAATCTTGAGTGTCTTATTTATGCCTTGTTCAATAGTCCCACCTTGCACAGAGAAAAGTAACCCAAGAAAAACGCCCAGACCAGGCATAGATCTTAATCAGATGTTTTCCAACTCACTACACTAGGAACGTAATTGAAAGTTCAGGACAATTAGATTGCAAACTTTTTTCCGCTATCAAGTATCACCTAGCATCAAAATGAATACCTGTACCTTTTGTCTTGTTCACTGCATTTTGCTAGCACAACATTTTGCCAATCTTTTAAAAGGGAAATATCAAAGAGTACCCCTAACACACTTGTTAAGTCTCAGTAATATCTTTCAAACCATAATTTCATATTTGAATGTAGTAGATTTCTCTATATGTGTAGTTTTTCAATTTTTTATAGTCTCTCCAAAAGTGTTTCTACTAATTTAATCGCTTCTGGTGTTAACAAAACCCCTTTTATAAATCATAAGAAATGTCAATCCAGTATCCACACCATGGATCCATGCTCTTCCCCTGCTCTCCAAGTCTTCCCTATAAATAATTACAACTGACGATTTCCTAAGGTTATGCTAAGCCATATGGTCTGAAAAAATTGTGATGGTTCTGAATTATCCACTCCACCTCAAGATCTACTGCTCGTTCAGTCCATTGCAAGACACGAGAATGTTGAGCAATAATCCAATCAAGAATAACTGGCCCAGCAACTTCTTCGATCTGCATAAGAAATGTTTCGTTATGACTTTGAAGCACAAAATTGTAGATGCACAAATGTAAAGTAGCCATGATTACTTGTCTAAGCTTTGATACTTAATGTCACAATTTCCATCATATGCACCAAGGAGAGAGAAATAAAGTTATCTGAAGACTCATTTTATAAAACCAAGCAGCTTAATTGGCCAGAATAAGCTATCATAATGCAGATTAATGAAATTTGCATCAAAAGAATATATTAGTCATTCCGTACAGAGGATATTGAATAGAAGAACTAATGTGGTAATAAAAAGCTGCATCACTGTCAATAACTTTGAAGTAATTGAATCTCTAATATATGCCAAATGAACTTCAACTCGCCAAGTGTAGATCCAAAGAAGATGCACATCAGCCACACTTAAAAGAATCACAATCTCCCCCCTCTCTCTCCTTAATAAACAAGATGGAGGGTTAAAATAGGAATCATACACAAACATCAAGGCATCTTGTTCCTAGCATCACAATGAGCCATACTATGGGACAATCACCATTTGGAATACATATGCAGTATGACTTTACATGGGAGTTCACATCAGACATATTTTACAAACTGAATGAATCTGATGATCTCCATAACCTAACAGCAGAGAGTTCGCTTCTCAAATATTAACTGACTGCTAAAATTCAAAACCAGATATTATTACATCTAGAAGTGCAAATACACAAGTATAATGACAGAAGACAAGTTACCATCTGATAGACAAAAAAAATTAGACAGCACCAAGTAAAAAACATTTCCTATAATCTGTAACTAGTCAATTTCTGTCAGCAAAAGAAGTTTCACATGTGGCACAATCTAAAGAGAGGAAAAACCCATGTAAACAGATGATACTTGATTTCAGAAGATCGTACTTGATATCTATCCAGATCTCGGTCGGACAGATGATTCAACTTGTTTTCCTCACAAGTAGATGCATATAACTCACTAAGATCATAATCCAAAGTATGGGCAGCAGAAAGAACGGATCTAACATCCTCGGTTAGATATGACACCTCCACAAGGTACGGTTGCTGTATATTTGGGAAGAAAGGTAGAAAAGAGTGAAAACTTAATATATGTACAGTGCAAATACGAAGAAAGACGAAACATTGCACAAATTTAATGTGATACAAACCAGTCTTTCTCCATAATATTTCTTTAGCTTTGTCGCTGAAACTGCCCCAGCTTCCGGATACCAATTACGAATCACTGGATAAAAAATGCCAAACTCTCTCTTGGCTAGCAAATTTAATTCATTTGCTAGTAGAGCCAGACTATGTGTTTTTGCCAGTTTGGATTCCAAATCAATTGTACTTGCTACCTAAAAAATCCAATATCAAACCAATGATTAGAAACAAAGATATGCTAGAGAAACTTCGGATACCGTACGATTGTCTCACCCGATTATATGCAGCTTCAATGGACCTTTCCACATAAGTGCTGAGTTTTCTGGTAACATTCCCATTGGAAGCATTTAACTTCAGGAGCTACATACATGCAATACCCTCATGTCACAACTAAGCTTTTTGGAAAATATATGAGTATGTCAGAAGGCCTGCCAAAGACCGTAATATTAAAAGAAAGGCACTCGAGGTAGAACATGAGTTCATCAGGCAATTTTAGGATGGTTCTTTAGTTGCCACAGGATATCTTTGATATTGCATTTTTTACTGAAAATTGTTAAAAAACCTTTTTCCACTTCCAATTTTTTCAATATTCTGAAAAAATTATTGGTCAATTATTTTTATTAGCACAGTGTGCTTTCTCTTGTAGCATAATTTTTATTTAAAATAAATAAAATTAAAAGATTTTGTCAAAAAAACTTTCAATTTCTTTTCTATTTCAGTTTAAATATGAAAATTAAATTTTATTATATAGGTTTCCAAAAGATCATTTTCAGTTTTTAGAAAATTTGAAAATGGAGGAGGGTTCCAACCACAAACTTTGATGAGTTTTCTATCTTCACTCTTAAGTTTCATCACTTTTCTCAACCACATTTTCTGGGTATAATAGCCTTTTTGTGGGGCCATTTGCCTCTTATACTCAAATGATTACCAGCAACGCCTAAAGGAGAAGACTTTGGATTATGTTTGCAAGAGATATAAAACAGCTGGGACCAGAATCTAGAATGACAATTAAAGGAGATGTTTTTATATTATGAGGAGAACATCTCAAATGACAATTTAGTAATAATGCACGTATAATATTAGACCATGAATGAATCATAATGTCAAATTACCAAACACGCTAGACAGTTAATCTCAAATGACAATTAATGGTGATGCTTTATATTATTTGGAGAACATCTCAAATGACAATTTAGTAATAATGCATTTATAATGTTAGATCATGAACAAATCATAATGTCAAATTACCAAGCACGCTAAACATTTAGCTTGTGCGGAATAACTTGCCTTAATTTCCCCAGAGTTGATGATAGGAACTCCAGTCAGTGACGCCAACATCATCACCCTTCCGAAGATACCAGGTTCCTGAAAATGAGCTTCATAATAAGATGATTACTCAAAGGAATGCAGGTGATAGTAAAAAGCAAGCTGCAAGCATTGACATGAAACTGGTAGCATATGACATCTATGAGCTCGAGCGCCAACCTAGTACATGCCCAGGAAGAAGATATTATGTTTGATGAGGAAAGCACAAGCAAAAGCACAAACAATCAACTAAATTTAACAAATAATTAAAGATAAACAGAACTTGACCTTACTAAAATGCAGATGATAGTCCTCCAGGCGACTATCGCACCAAATGCTTATTGAACAAAGAACAGCCTCATCCAGACTTAACTTTGTTTCGACACCATTGTATCGTTGAGAACACGCAAGTCTGTTGATATATTTTTCTTCCTTCCTATCATGGTCTTCAGCAGAGACAAATCTCTGCAACTTGAGGATACAATGTTCTAAGAGCGAAGGCTCCTGTGTCCCCACAAACTTCAATGGAAAAATTCCAATGGTTAGGAAGTTTGACATCTCAAAGCACGATACTATCATTAATTAAAATAATGAGTAACACCAACTAAAAATGGTCGAACCAAGAAAAGTGATCATTTAAATACATGTAAATAGATCTTGAAAGAACATGCCTGGAAACCAGAGTATTCTTTAAACCAGAACATTATGGGTAAATAAATGCTTTCTTCGCTACAATCTAAAGAATCAAACAATTTCTCAAGATTTAATAACTAAATTCCTATTTATATTCTTTAAACACTCGTCTGATGATATATCCTCCAAGTTTACCCTGCAAAACCAAACGGGGCATAAAACTTATTCACAACATGAAGAAGTTGCCAAATTCCTTCTAAACTCGTAGGAAAGCCCACAAAAATATTTACCAAGTCGTGCACAGACATGTACATGTCAAAACAGAATGGACAGAGAAAAGAATATTAATTGTGTTACCTTAGTTGTGAGTCTCTTTCTGCAAATTGTCGATTTTATTTTACTTAAACAAGGATAACCCAAGCAAACTATAAGCTAGACCAGTAGACAATTATGAAAACAAATAATATCTACATGGGAAACATAATTTTGCTTACAATACAACTTTAAGGTCATGTACAGTTACAAAGTATTCTTGGCAAACAATAAATTACACGGCTCTATAGTCTGTACATTACAAGATGTTTCAGTGTGGATCCAGCTTTTCTTTTAAGAACCATGCAGTGAAATATTATCACCAGGATTGATGTATAAAGAGTGATTTAGCACACAGAGAGAGAGAGAGAGAGAGAGCTATTCCAAATTCCAAGCCACTTAACCATAAATTTATTTATTACTTTTCCAACAAAAGGACACCACAAGTAAGGATCATATAGTCAATAACCTGTGCACCTCCGGCATAAATTCTCCCAAATTTGCATTGCCACACACAAAACTCAAGACATAGGTAGAATGAGACAACAATTGCCATATAATCTAGCTATTATCCATCTTTGCAAAAAACAATATAAAAAGAGCTTATTTGCTCATTCTTCATTCTATCCATCTGTCGTATTACACACTGTATAAAAAATGCAAATCAAATGCAGAGGAATGCTACATAGCTTCACATTGATAAATGCCTCGCAATTGTTAAGATCCAGTTGAGGTACAACAAAATACCTGCCTAAAAAGGACCCACCCATGCATCGCATCATGGATTTTCTGAGTGATGCCTAAGGTAGGCCATGTCATCTTGATTAAATTTAGAATTTCTTCAGCTTCCTGAACAAGTGCATGAAGAAAATTATGCATGTGCAAAACTACAAAACCAAAGCAACACTACAGGTAATGCTAATTGCCAATGGACACACCTCAATGAGCTGGCTTTCATCAAGAATATCGAACATGCCAAAAAGTAGTTTCTCATAAATTCGAATGTTCAGTTGATAACCCACTGTCCAGTAGTAAGTTCCAGTTTCAAGACCAACCTCTCCTGGCAGAGATGACAGCCCTAAAACCACCTGCCTAATAGCATACAGAACGTCGGCATGATCGCTTGGAGACATTTTGACATCCCATTCCTGGAATACAGAGAAGGTGATTCATTCTAATATATGAGAAATGAAAATGTTGAAAAAGAATAGAACTATTTTGGTTGATGTGATTGAAGTGGACATGAATATGTGCAGATTAACAAGTGCCACACCTTTGGATCTCTTATCTTCGGAAGAGAGCTTCTCACCATACAATGTTCATTTGTCCCAAGATTAGTAGAGGAACTTATAAATTCTTCCAAAAGATTCACCTACAAATAAAGACCAGACAAATTATAGATTTACCACTAGCTGATGATCACCTCATCTCTATCATCCACAGGAGCAGAGTCAAAGGCATAAGAACACGAAAATCATACATCCAGTTCTTTCCATCAAAGTCATTCACTTTGATACTATCTTTAATGGCCTTGATATCAGATTGCATAAATATAAACTGACGCTAGACTGCACTCATCAATTGATGAAGAATCTTTTAAGATGGTCAGAGTTTGCATCCTACGGAATGCTTCTAATTTTAGTGATTAAATTTAACACAAAACAAGACTATAATGGTCTCTGCCTCCACCCACTCCCCACCCCAAAAGAAAATTAAGAAAACGCTACTTGCTTCCCTGCCACTAGGTGAAAAATCATGTTCATCTAACAAAAGTCTAGATGATGCCAGCATTTATATGGAAATTAAAGATTTACGGTGCTCAATATATATAGCCACATTCAAAATGATAAAAGCAAAAGCTAAAAGCCATAGCCCCCAGAACACCTCCAAAGTCTCTTTTTTGGTTGGATTTAAGTTTTTCAATCCTGCATCTGTATGTATGTGAATGTCTGCATCTATTTGCTGAGTGGATCCTATCTGCACAACTCATGGATCCTAAACATATTCCCAACATTTACTGCATCTTCAGGATCAGATCAGTATAAGACCACTTAGTTAATGACAGCTTGCTTAGTGCAGTCATTTATGTGTCTCTCTGTCAACAAAACAATCAGCAGAGACATAATTCTATTCATTGCAGGAGCCTTCAATACGAAAAACACAGCCATCTCTTGGTATTAGATGTGAATCACCAAAAGTAACTCTAACCCCTTTACATAAACTGAAGCATTCATACTCTCTCTATCCAATAAGAAGTGCTTTCCTTCATATTGACGCCTTAATATCCATAAAATTTGGAATTGTGCGGAACAAACATCAAGCTCAATCTGTCCCATACCACAGAGAACTACAAAGAAAGGCATTTAGAATCACTACCTGTCTCCTTCTCCATTGCAAATAGTGTTTCTCGTTGAGAAAATCAGACTCATGAATCCCATCTAAAAGGCCCAAGGAAATTTGAGGAACATTAATCTGTCTGCATGTTTTACTTGCCACCAACTCTATCAATTTCTTTCTGATGCATGCATCTTTAGCTTCCGAAATCTGATCAAGGAAAATTTTTCCATGCAAGATAACAAAAAACTAAGTGAGAAATGACTGGAGTAAGTACATCAAGCCACCATTTATATATCACATAACATTGGAAACTCTGTATAAAGACCAAAAACATGAAGACCTAGATGTTACTATCTATTTTCACCAAAGAACATTCTCCAGCTGCTGATTTACAAAGAATATGGGATGGAATATTAAACCACAGGATTGAACTAGACAAATTTCTGCCTAAGTGTGCATCAAACGGAAATAATTTGATCAACCAAACTTCAAATACATGGCCAGCACCAGGTGAATGACATTAATGCATTGAAAGCATGAGTATCGTTTGCATACTTTTGAAATCATACTTAAAGTGATCCACTCAAGCTCTCATCATCACCATCCAAACATGGAACTTATATCTTCAGAGACAATAATATTCGGAAATGCTTGCCTGCATCTGAGAGCGTATAATATCAATTAGCTCAAAGTGTCTTTCAAGAGGCTGAGACTGTAAATGAATCTTATTCTTTTTGCCCTTTATTCCCGAGAAAAATTTGGAATTCTTTTCCTTCTTTCTATCATAAACCGCCTGTAGCTCAATCCTGATGAAAGAAACGATAGTATTAATCTGAGCAAAGAATTTCCAATTTAAAAACAGGAAATAAAAAACATAAGTAGATCATATCATGAAATTAACAAACAAAAATGAAGAGAGCGGAAAGAAATAATAAAACTGGAAGCAAGTGTATTAGAAGGAGAGAAAAAGAAAAAGAAAGAAGCGAAGAAATTTACCCAGAGAAAATCATAGATGCAAGCAGTACTTCATAGGCTGATTCTTGCAAGTCATCATCAGACAGTCCTTTAAAATTCTGAAGCCATGTATCAGTTTACTAAAAAACTTGCCAATGTTTAGAGGAAGACTATTGTCGAGTCTTCTAGACATCATCATACATAAGCTTTTATCCTAAATATTTCAGTCCAAGAAGAAACGGAAGTAAGCAATCACATACCTGCAATCAGGACAGGTAATCCCAATGGAGGAACTTCTGAATCAACAGGCTTCATAGGTGTACGATGTGTCTCCTTATATTGAAGAACAATGTCTTCTGTATCCCCGACAATTGGAGTATCTAATTTACCCACTGACGTTGAAGTATGGTCAGAGCTGTGGGCGACATCAGCTTGAGGAGGCATGCGCTGGGGTGGAGATCCAGCAAGTTCGGGGTCGGAGACAAGAAAATAAGAATTCTGGGATGGCAACTGAATCTGCTTCCACAGAAATTTGCATAAACTTTTAGTAGAAAGTATAAGAAAGAGACGAGCAAGTAATTTAACTAAACGCTCAATGCCTTACTAGGAATGTGTAAATTACAAAATTTTATTTCAGAAAATAATCGGTGCCTTACAATACACCAATACCCTTTTTGGGTTTCGCTATATCATGTAACTTCATCAAAACCCACTACCATTTCCTGCTCGAAAATCAGTTAGGTTCTGGCTTTCAGCGGTTGGCGTTCTAGAAGCATTCACATACCCAGCAGGCAATATTAAATAGACCTTCAAGAAACTTTTGAACTTAGACAGAAACCTTATCGTTCAATACTAATTGGAAGGTATAGCACAATAATATACACATCGTTTGTTTACTCTTGTATGTTCCCTAGACATTCAAACAAAACCATGAGGTAGCCTTAACAAAGATAATGCACAAGAATATAAACAGCAACAGAGAAGATGTAGCAGACAGTGAGCCAAAAGACTTGATCCAACTGATAATCTAGGAAACTTTCAAACGGAAAACATAACACAGAATCACCAATTGTCGTGCATGAACTGAACCGAAGAAGAAGAACCAAATGTCATGCACAAGTAATCTCACCGTGATCGGATACGTGGATTCTTCCAAGTACGTCTCAGTTGCTGCGGCCATATCAATCGATCCACCTAATGACAAACAAACACATCACCAGCTCAAAGCCACGAGACCGAGGCCTCCACTCAGACGAGCCGAAGCGCCACACGAGTCGAAGAAACACGAAAGCAACAACATAACTCACAAAACCCCGAGCTCAATTCACTTCCAGTTTTCACCGTCGAACTCCAGAAAACAACTCAAACAACACAAAAACTAGCACCCGGACCAAAGCAACACCATGCGGACACCGACACCGAGCTCGTTCTCGGGACCTCCTTCGCCGAAACTCAAAGAGAACTCTGGACAGCCACTCACCGGATTGAAGGCGGTGGATGACGTAATCGGCGCTGAGGGTGTCGAAATCGGCGCCGGAGAGAGAGGAGCAGTCGAGTCCGGCCGAAGCGAGCAGGAACTCCAGGAGCTTGCGGCGATCGCGGCGGTAACGATGCAGCAGGGGCGGCGGCGGCGGCTCCATGGGGGCGGCCGGGCGGCGGCGGTTGTGGAACGCGGCGGTCGTTCCGATGGAACTTTTCAAAGAGGAAAATTCGATGAGAGAGAGAGAGACAGAGAGACGGGGGGGAGGGATCAACAGTTCGCTCGCGTCGAGTGGGGAGCAATCATTCCGAGGGTGCCGCAGAAAGCGGAAGCGAGCGTGCCTTTTGATTCCGCCAACCAGCGAGCTGGAAAAAAAGACAAGCCCCGCGGTGCAATTACATGCGGGAGAACGAATTTGCTGACCCTTGTTGGAAAATTAACGGACTAATTATTAGGGGTGACCAAGATGGACAGCCCAAATTGAGACTAGACCGGACCGATCAGTTTAGTTCGATTTTCGAGAATATCGGTCCGGTTTCCAATTCCTAAAAATGGAACCGGTTTCAAGGCGGTCTAGTTCCCGGTTCTAAGGTGGGAATCGGATCGGACCGGATCGATAAATATATTTTTTTTAAAAAATTTTCATATATATAATATTTAATATATTTATGAAAAATATTTAATATTGGTCTTATTGGAACTGATTGTTCAATTTTTTCATATATTATATATATTTTTCCAATTTTTTCCATGGCATTATAGGATCAAATTAGAACTATAAAGGAAAGAACGAAATAATCGTTTCCCGGTTCATAAATAATATTTAATATTGGTCCCATTGAAACCGGACCGAACCGGACCAAATCGGTCTAAGGTCCCAAGACTAGCCGATCCGATCCCCGGTCCTAGAAACTGGGAACCGATCCTGTTCCCGGTTCTTGGGTTAGACCAGACCAGACCGGGAACCACTCACCCCTACTTAAAGCATCCCCACAATGTATGTGTCTCTTTCCCTATTCTGTTCAGTTACTAATTATCCCAAATACATGTTCGATTGGTATATCTTCCTTAATGCTTTTGTCGATATGAATACCTTAGATGCAGTATTCTTTCCATGTCAACGTTTCACAATTTTGTTTGTTTGAACGTTGCTCATTTACTTAATTCCGGAGCTTTTTATGGATCCTGATATAAATGTGTTTACGATCCATCCACAATGGACCGCGAATATGATTGGGGTATAAAAATCAATCGGTTAATTGCAAAAGGCCACAAATAACTATCTTCATTATGATGTGGTTGATCTCGAGAGTGTGCTTTTGTCGTATTTTTGCTGTTTGATTCTTTTTTTTTTCCTTCTTTAATCAAAGGAAGGGGACATCTTATTTTGTTTGAATGTAATGCAGGGACGGAGTATGTTTTATGCGTGATTAGCAACAAATACGCGGAAAAAGTAAGCAAAAAGGTGTGCCGGAATCTGCACGTCCTAGTGCAACTTGAGGAAGAGAATCAACGAGCGAAGAAGGCATGACCACTCCGTGATGATCACACAAACGCCGCCATCGTGGACGTTCCTTCCACCGCATCGCCACCCTCAACTACCGCCACCGATCAAGCTCAACCATTCACTTCCCGGCTTTCAGTGAAGACGAAGTTGTCATTCCACGAATGACATCTGCTACGCCACTGAATTCCCGGCTTTTCACAGCGACAGAAATGCCAATTCGCTTCCTCCAACAGCAGCGAACGTGCAAGAAGATACCCACCTCACAGCTTCCTCGGCTTTTGGCGGCGCAGACGCTGGTGCACTTTCTACGATGAGCACATCGGCGCCCGTGGTCGACTGGGAATGGATGGATGGGTTGATGATGGACATAGAAACGGATCCGGTAGTCCGCTCCGATTACCTCTTCAATTCAAATCCTTTTCTTGATCCATCGAAAGGTGATACAAATGCAATGCTCGCATCCTCACTCGGCATACCATACGACCAGACGTGGGATCCTACTTCTCTTCATCGAGAAAGGAATGTTGTTGAATAACAAGTGCAAGATGTTCTAGACATATCGGCGCCCGCAATCCACTCGGAATGTGTCACGTCCCAACCAAGACCATGACACGTGATGTACTTTGCGACGTCCCGTTCATTATTATCTTTCTTTTACGAGCAAGCGAAAGCATGAAATTGGGACAATAAAAAAAATCAAAACAAATATCAGGATCAAGACAAGCATCATGAGCAAACCTTTTTACATGATAGCTTATATATACATTACAAGCCAAGCCTTTTTACAAACCCCTTCTTTTTAAGGACAGATTCACACACATACTTGTACCCGCTATAACAACACGGTTGGATTACGCCTAGCACCTCTACCGTGGTTATCTAGCACCTCTACCGTGGTTATCTAGCATCTAGCCAAGCTCCCAAAAAGTTTCCTTCAAAACTTGCTCGGTCCCCGTCCGAGGCGGAACCGCCGCCTAGACTCTATTTGCAGCGGCCCCGGGTGCCGATCCATTGGCACCACCAAAAGGACCATTGAACCCGCGGAGGGGTCTGAACAAGCATTCGCTCGTCCACATGTACCATGCTTCATACTTATGGGGAACGAGATTCTCGAATCCCTCATCTACTTGGACCAGCGAAATCACCTTCCGGTAGGTACGACCCATTTCCACATCTACCACGTCCAAGACGTTCACTACGAGTTCCACAGGTACACCAAAATACACCGGCGGGGCTGCCATCCTACAAGTCTGAAAAAAGAAAAAAAAAACAACGGGGAGTGAGTCATTGACTCAGTAAGTAAATCTTCTAATTTCAAGTGAGGAGAAATCAATCGTCGCCGGACACGCGTCCTAACTTATCGCCCCTGTTATCGATAGCAGATCAATAACAAAGTGTTTCTTACCTCGTCTATGTACTATTCATGGTGTACACAATTGCCAAGAGACATCAAGCATGGTATTTACATAATGCATGCAAAAATATAACACACAGGATTTATTCATTTTTTTAACTGAAATCCATCGGTTCTTCCAAAATCCATCGGACATCTGAAATCCATCGAGCATCCGGAATTCACCATGCATCCGAAATCCATCGGGCATCCAAAATCATCGGGCAATGTCTCGAAATCCATCGTAGACGGCTTTAGTTCCACGTGTGTCCATGCATCACAACCATCAAGCAAGTCTGATTTTTATCTTTCATTTATAGCCATACAAGCAATATTGCCCGAAGGTGGGGGTGCAAAAGTGAGACTCATGATCCTTGATTCTAAATTTTCTAATATGTCGACTACAGTTCAAGGCCTATGACTTGATCCGACGCGCCAAGCGATAAACCAAACCGACTTAGTTCAAATCCGATACGCCTCAATATCGAACCTTTGCCAAGCAAGTTCCGGTCCATGCACCATAGCGCGTATACAAGACATATGTTCCTTCTTTCGCGGCTGAGTCGTGTATCAACTCAAGCTTAGAGCATGCAAAGAATGACATGACCAGCAAGCATCACACGAAGTCCAAGCACGAATCCGGTACAAACACTAGCCAACAACGCATTTCATCATCATATCCCGAGATTAGGGAATCCATTTACTTTACTTGATAAAAGCAAGGTTTAGTGAGGACCAAGATGGGAAAGTGACGTGAGGGAGAAGATGGTGATTGGAGTGAGAGAGAGAGTGGCGGGAGAAGAGAGTGTATGGCGTGAGCAAGAAGCGAGAGGGAAAGTGGCGTGAACGATAGTGGTGTGAGGAAAAAGGAAATTAAGTGGAAACCAAGCTTATTTAATTATAATGTGGTCTACTAATGGTCCTTAATGAAGATGAGGTCAAATGTAATAATGGATGGCCCTAAAGGTTTAAGTTAATAATGAATGGATCTTGAAAGTCTTTGGCCATCATTAAACTTCCTTATCAAGCTTTTAACTTGGGCCATTCATTTCCAACTTGGTCTCGAAGTCTCCAATCTAGTGTCATTATGTCATAGTTTTAGGGCTTATGACTCATCTTCTTCATTAATGTCTAAGAAGACATCTAAGCTCTCCTAATAATGGCTCTTCAATGATTTCCTTGTCTTGTTCTTCCCTTTTGGCGTGAATGACATAGTCTTGGTCTCCAAGACACAAATTATCGGTGTCTTTCTCTAGACACCTCAATTATTGTCCCTCTCTTCATTATTGGTGCCTTCTTGGATAATCTCCATTACTGACAACTTGCTAAGGCTCCATTATTGATAACTTGCTAAAGAAGTTGTCCATTTGTCTCTTGTTCATGAATCTCCTCTCTAGGCGTGGTCCACTCCTTAGGATTCTAACATTACTGGTTCAAGTAAAAACAACACAATTATTGGTGCCAAGGTTCCATCATTGGGGTTGGTCTTCATCATTGGTGCCAAGGCCTATTATTGGCAATTTAGTCTTATCAAGTTGTCTTCTTGTGCAAAGGCTTCTAGGTGTGAATCATGTGTCCAATTGCAAGGACACTCTATCATTGGGGGTCCTTACTAGTGCTAATGGCATATCATTTCTTGTACGCCTAAATTTTCACTAAAACATAGCTTAATAAGAAACTAAGGTAATTTAGGGATTCTAAAATGCCATAATTGATCGACCCTCCCATTTGGATTCGAGGTTCGGTATAAAAATATGTCATAATATGCTTGGACACAACCGAGCCAAAGACCGGACTGAATGGCGCAAGGCCGAACCAACAAAATTGTCCTGGTACATAGCCTAGTCGATCAGGTTTGACTGGGCGTAAGGCCTGGTACAGGGCCGGGCCACACGGGCACAAGGCCGGGCTCATGGCAAGGCCACACGAGCGCCGGACCTGCTGTACGGGCTTAGGGCCGAGTGCATGGGCACGGTACCGGGCCACACGAATGGTGCGCCAAGCACAAGGCTAGGCCACACGAGTGAGGGGCCGGTTCTCGAGCCAAATACACACCTTGGCTCATGGACGGGCACAATGCACGACCCGTAGCCAAGTCCAATGGGCACGGAACTAGGTCTAGGCTAAAACTGACGGGCACAAGGCCTGGCACAAGTGTCAGGCACAATGGCCGACACACGGACGAGCACAAGGCTGACCCGTGGCCTGACTGACGAGCACACAGCTAGTCCGTGGTCGGGCACAAGGCCTTGCACATGGCCTGTCCATGTTCGAGCATCAACGATCCATGGTCGATCCTCGATTGTCATATAGTCGTGTGGAATCAAGTACCATGGGATCGATCCATGGTCATCCGCGACTGGTGCATGGCCATGCGGAATCA